CGCGTGTATGCGAGCTAAGCGGTGCCAATACCACACTCGCAGCATCGCGCGTGTGAGCGCGACTCACCTCACCACCGGACTAGCACTGGTCCACCCGTGACAGCTTTACGGTTGTAGGTGGCGGCAGTCCTGTCGGGGTCGTCCCAGCTCTACGGAGCGTTGGCAGTCTGTAAATGTCCCACACTTTACCGACGCTGCTGCTCTATCGTATAGTCTTCGCCCGTGTTTGCAATAGCTTATCGTATAAGCTCAAGGGGCTGATAATTACTTTCAAATAAACAGGATTTCGTTCTGAGCGAAGGCGCTGAGCGCGAGGTCAGGAGCTATAGGCCCAGAACGCTCTGTTTCGATGTCTGCCTTGTCTGTTCGGCTATCCCACAGGCCGCCTATATAATATATATTCATTATAGATGGCGACACCAGGTGACACTCGCAGCGGCGAGTCCGGGACGGACTAGTTCATGCCTATTTATTCTTGTCTGTGGAAAGCAAGGTTGTATACAGTGCGGGACACAAACACGTGGAGGCTGTCACATGAACGCGGTGTACTCTTCCGTCGCAATTGTGCGTTCGCTGATTATTTTTTCATGTTCTTCTTACTGACATGCGTCCTAAGGTGCCTGTGCGTCTAGTCCGGGTCGTCCGGCGACTGCGGCAGCCTGACTGGCCCCACTTTTTTTTCAAAAACTTGAGCCGCCGTTACGTGCTCACACACATATAACTGCGAGTATCATCTAGGCGTAGTGCGATAGAGAGATGGGCGCAGAGTCATCGCGCTGACCGATAGATAGTCAAGACCGAAGAGAGAGAGAGGAGACTGGGACAAGGGCAGAGGGACGAGGACGAGACAGAGAGACCGTCCGAGATCGGGCCGGAGAGAGAGAGAGAGAGATAGAATAGGCAGAGGGGGAAAATGAGCCGGGGGCGCCGGAGCAGAAGAGTTAGAGACGAGGAAGAGAGAAGGGAAAATGGGAGGAAGGAGATGGGGAGAAAGAGGGGAAGGCGAGCAACGAGAACGAGAGAGAAGAGGAGAACGAGAGATGAGAGAGGGTTAGACGACAAGTCAGGGGGCGGGTATTAGAGAAGGGAGAGCAGCGATAAAAGGAGGAGGCGGCGGAGACAGTGAGAGCAGAGAAAAGAGAAGAGAAAGGAGCGAGCGAGAAACGGACGAGAAGGCGCGCGAAGCTGAAGAGACCGAGACCAGGCCAGAAGAGACGAGAAAGGAGAGACGTGGCAGAGGAGAGAGACGAAAAAGAGAGGAGAGACAGCGAGCCGAGAGCCGACCGCGAGACGGCGAGAGAGAGAGAGAGCATGAGAGCCCACGGCACTAGCCAGCCGACAGAGCAGAGCGAGATGAGAAAGGCGGATAGAGAGCAGAGAGAGAGGAAGGAGAGAGAGAGAGGCCAGAGAGAAAGAGAGGGAGAGCAGAGAACAGCGAGAGAGATGCTGACGAGAGAGAGTAGAGAGAGAGAGAGAGAGAGAGAGAGAGAGCAAAAGAGGAAATACGTGGACATACAACCTCACATCAAAGCGCGGGCATCCATCGCTCCCAGACAGTCCCCCGTTGTTAGCTTTTATCGGTGAAGTACATGATTGCAAGAGCGACAGATCCCGCGCTGCCCGGCTGTCAGATGCGGTTTCTGGTATCACACTGGGAAATCATTCCCCCTAGGCGGCCATATTACGAAAAAATTCCCATATATCAGCAGGAGTTTTTTTGAGAAATCACAATGCCATCCTCTGAATCCACGTCGCAACTGACACGATATATGTTGTTAACTCAAAAATTCTTCCATAATTTTTTTTGTAAACAATTTGCTTTTTCCGGCACGCACTCGAAATGGCCACTTTGCAATGTCATTTTACGCGAAAACGTAGGCTTCCTTCGAAAATTGCCGGGCCGCCCCAGCAACGCACCCCGGGCGAGCCGCTTACACTGTCGGATTCAGCAGAGATTCTAGTTTCTGACATTAACAAATGCAAAGAGTGCTAAGCATTTCTAATGAGACATAACAAATTCAAGCGCACGCATACACTGAAATACGACCTCATTCTCATACGAGCTGATTGGCTGATTTCCCACCGTAATACCTTCTCTTGCAGCAGAAAGCGATAACGCGCGTGCTACGCCTACGCACGTCTGCGCATGCCACCCCGCCATGGCTACCAGCTTACACAACCCACTACTAATACCGCTGCGTGCATGCGTGCACGGGAGCTGGTATTGTGATGCTCCTCTACACGACTCCATAACCGTTACAACGTGAGCAACCACGCTCGCGTCGGTTATGAACTGAACGTAAAGCAGCGGGGACCACGCGCACGTTATTATGTGTGTGTTTAAGCAGGTTATTACAAGTATCCGTCACATAGCGTCACTCGCTCTCCATATATAACTTATAAGTGAGATCGGAAAGTCCAGCTGTGCTAATTATAGGTCACAGAAAAATGGGGTGTAAAATGGCCGAGGCGCGCTTAGGAAAGTACATGATTATTGTTAAACACTCGTGCGTTTTTCGTTTTTGCATTAACACAAACATTGCAAAATATCCCAAATGATCTCAATCATATTTTTTATAAAAGGGCAGTTTGGGGGCAGTTTATACCCCCTCTTATCTGATCTCAATATGGCGGCGGGGACTTTCCGATAAGGCTTATTCACCCGCCATTTGTGACTGCGCTTGTAACGCGCCCATTATGCCTACCCATGTCCCGCGGCACAGCCAGAAATCCGTGTCTGTCTGTATACCTCGCCGCATATTAGGTATGCATAGCCTGGCATCACGTTAGTTCTCACCTGTATTGTAATGCGCGCGTTCATCATAGAGATTTCACATAGCTCATCATTAAGCTAGGGCGTACGCGCTCCTGCACTCGTCTGCTGTGTGTGTGTGTGTGTGTGTGTGTGTGTGTGTGTGTGTGAGTGTAGTGTGTGTGGGTGTGTGTGTTTGTGTTGTGTGTGTGTGTGTGTGGTGTGTGTGTGTGTGTTTGTGTCGTGCTCTGTGTGTGTGTGTGTGGCCTGTGTGTGCGACGCCCTGTGTTGTGCGTTTGTTGCTGTGCTGTGTTGTCTGCGCGTGGCTGTGTGTGTGCGTGTGTGCTGTGTGTGTGTGTGTGATTGTGTGTTTTGTGTTGTCTGTGTGTCGAGTTGGTCGTGTGTGTGGGTGTGTTGTGTGTGTGCGCCGGAGACTTGTGATTGTGTGTGGGTGTGTGTGCTCTGTGTGTGGTGTTAGTGTGTGTGTGACGTGTGTGTGCTGTGGTGTGTTCCAACCTACTGTGTTTGTGGTGTTTGTGTGTTGTGGTGTGCTGTGTTTGTTGTGTGTGTGGTGTGGTGTGTGTTGTGTGTGTGTGTGATGTGTGAAGCCGTGTGTGTGTGTGTGTGTGTGTGTTTACTAACGCAGCCCGAGGTAGCGTAGACCGTGTCTGTGGGTCGTGGAAGATGGTGAGAAGAATAAAGAGTAGCGCGCGCCACCCGCCGCAGAAGAGATAGAGATGATAGACTGAAAAAGAAAAATAAACTGGGAGAGAAAAGAGAGGAGAGATCTATGTGAGCCATGAGCGAGGTATGTATGCACATGTGCTTAATCTTCTCCTCCTCTTCCTACCTCCCCTCTTCCCCCTCTTTCTTCTTCGCTTCTCCTCATCTTTATCCTCTACCTCCTTCTCTTCCGCTCCTCCTCCTCCCCATCCTTCTCCTGCTTCTTCTTTTTTTTTCTTCTTGCTCCTCTTCTTCGTCCTCCCTTTTTTCATTTTCTCTTCTCCTTCGTCTCCCAAATACGATATAAGGCTATCTATTTGGAGTTATGGCAACGCTTCTGCACTGTTGCTGCTGCTACCACGGTTACTGCTGCCCTACCACGGTTACTGCTGCTTGCCCATGCCTGTACTACTGCTGCTTCTGCCACTGTTAGTTGCTGCTGCTGTTGATGCTACTGCTAATGCTACCTGTACTTGCTTTAACTGCTACTGCTACTGCCTACTCAGCTACTGCGGGGGGCATACTGCTATGTACTGCTACTTGCTACTGCTTACTGCACTGCTATGCTATGCTATGCTACTGCTGCTGCTGCTACACGGTTTATGCTGCCTGCCATGCCTGCTACTACTATGCTGCTTGCTGCTGCTTACTACGCCTGCTGGCTGGCACTACTGCTCGCTGCCTCCTTCTGCTGCTGTTTCCGCTTTCTGATGATGATGATGCTGCTGATGATTGATGATGATAATTGATGCATGATGTGCTACTGATAGCTGTACTGCTACTGGCCTTATGCTACTGCTACTGCCTACTGCTACTGCTCTGCTACTGCTTACTGCTACTGCTACTGTCTACTGCTACTGTGCCTGCTGCTGCTGCTGTACTGTACTGCCACTATGTTACTACTTACTATACTACTCTACTACTACTACTTACTACTACTACTACTACGTTACTATACTATCTACTACTACTACATAATACTACTGCTTCTACTACTACTGCTAGTGCTTACTATATTCTATGCTGTTACTACTACGTTAGCTATGCTGATGCTGCTGTGTGCCTACTGCATACTACGACTTGCTTACTGCCACTGCTTTACTGCTACTTCATACTACTACTTACCACGACACGTACTTCCCCTCCATCCCTTCTTTCTTGCATTCCTGCTCCTTCTTGCCCTCATCCTCCTCCTGCTGCTGCTTGCCTGTTGCTGCGTGCTGCTTGTTTTGTTGTGGTGTTCTGTGTTGTTGATGTGTTGTTGTTGTTGTCTGTTGATAGTGCTACTGCTATGCTGCTCTTGTCTGTCTACTTTTCCTTCACACACATGCAGCGAAGAAATGCGCCAGATGACAGAAAAGCTAACATGTTAGCAACCAATAAATATTGAAGTATGGTTTTTATTGGTCTCGTCGACTGACGTAGGTGCTGGGCTGGTATGATATATACCTTGTCGCTGCTGGGCATATCGCCTGTAATATAATATATATGTATATATAATATATATATATATATATATATATTGTTATGTATATATATGCGCACTGTTACGATAGGCGTCTGTTATATTACTATGGCGACATCATCTGGACCGGCCATCGACCCACGTCTTACTGGTTTCATAGCCATTGATCCGCATCTTACTGGTCACCAATTCTTTTATCGTACGTCGGAGAAATCAATGCAATCTTACGGCGACTGGACTTGATTTCCTCAGTTATATATTATATATAATATTACAGAGAGAAGAGAGAGACGAGATTGACGATGAGAGAGGTGAGGAGATTGAGAGGGGGAGAGGAGAGAGTGAAGGAGAGAGAGATGGAGAGAGCAGAGCAGAGACGAGAGAGAAAGATGAGAAAAGAATAAGCGAGAGAGAGATTGCGCGTGAAAGAGAGAAAGTGTGTGTGTGTGTGTGTGTGCGTGTGCTTGTGTGTGCTGTGTGTGTGTGTGTGTGTGTGTGTGTGTGTGTGTGTGAGAGAGAGAGATATTGACTGGTTGATTTGTGTATGTTTGCTTGCAGGTTGCATGCAGCCATGATGCTGCGCTGGTGGCTAGGTCTGGTCGTTGTCGTCCTGCTGACGTCGCCAGACGCCGACGCAGCGAGACAACAACGCCCCAAGCACAAGCTCAAGTTCAGACCGATATCGCTGCCTACTGACTTTAACAGGTATATATATACATACGGCTGCGACTCACGCACTTACATCTAACTCATACATGGCACGTCTCCTGTACATAGAACCCACTTCCTCACTTCCCTCCCAGTCTCTTTTTCTTCCAGTTCTCACAACCCTATATAATATATAACATCAGGAGTGGATAATAGAGATCTCTATTATCCACTCCTGATAACATTCATGCATAAAATACTATCAGGAGTTAATGAAGACAAAAAGAAGCTCATGTTTGTATATATTTGTATTTTTATTCACATCAAAAATGTAGTGAAATCAGTACCAAATACGTGTCAAACTCCTTTGTCTTCATTAACTCCTGATACTATAATATACTAATATATCTACTATATATCGTATATCAACCTCTAGGTGATGACTTAGACTAATTATTTATAATTGATTGCGGTGTGTTTAGTCTACAGTAGTCACAATAGAGTGCCATGGTATGATGTAATCAGGAGCCTGATGTAATGCTATAATCAATAACGATATGATACCCCGTACAGACTGTAAATTTGATCCTACATCAAACTGGTCCGGGCCAGGCTCGCGCTAATTACGTTATGAAACGCTGTGGTCAGTCTTATCGCGTTGTTGTATATCGTGTCGTTTTGGAACAACTCTGATTTTCTAGACAGTCATACTCATCGCTTGCTCGTATGTCGACTGTATTTAGTGGCAGTTGAATAGCTGCAGGTTATAGCATGAATAGGTCGAAGTTAGAGAGACTGGGCGTGCGCGCATTCACGTAACTGTTACACCGTATTGTGCAAACCATACACGAGGTCGGGTACATTTAATCAGGGCTAAATAAGAATGCAACAAATAATCGCGTGACTGATCTAATTTTCAGCTACGATCTGGATGGAGATGGGTTCCTTGAGATTCAAGAGTTGGCGAAGGTTTCCGAGACATCTGTAGAGCAGTGTAGCAAGCCGTTTGAGGCGGCTGATGTCAACAGTACGTATGACTAGTAGTCCGATGCTTAACATGTTTTCCATACTTGTTATATACCTACACGTGTACCTCTGTCACCCTGTGTCTCTGTCTCTTTTTGTCAGATTCTCTCTCTCTCTCTCTCTCTCTCTCTCTCTCTCTCTCTCTCTCTCTCTCTCTCTCTCTCTCTCTCGCTCTCTTTCTTCTCTCTCTCTCTTCTCTCTCTCTCTCTCTCTCTCTCTCTCTCTCTGTCTCTTTCTTTTCTCTCTCTTTCTCTTTCTTTCTTTCTTTCTCTCTCTCTCTCTTTCTCTCTCTCTCGCTTTCACCCTTCCTTTCATTTCCCTTTCTCTTTACTTATCAATTTCTATATCCCTTTCCTTTTTCTTTCTTTCGCTCTCTCTCTCTCTCTCTCTCCTCTCTCTCTGTCTCTTTCTCGCTCTGGCTCTCGCTCTCCTTTCTCCCCGTTTCTCTCTCCATCTATTATTGCCTATATCTCTTACTCTCCCTTCTCTCCTTTCTTCTCGCTCTCTTCTTCTTCGGCCTCGCTTAACTTCGCCTGGGCTCTCTCCCGCACCTCTCTCGCTCCTCTGTCTTCCACCCTATCTCGCCCTTGCCCTTCCTCTTCCCCCTCATTCTAGCTGCCGCTTGATGGCATCGTGCGCCCTGTGACTCATAACTAACTCCGAAGCAGCACGCTACACAATAGCATCCCGCACGCACCCTGTATTCATTCCAAGCTTTCATTTCCGCGACTACTTGATGCCCTTCTGTCTTTGTCCGTCAAATATCGAGACCATAATGCCATTGCTGTTGCTGCCAGCTCGAGCGAATGCATATGCTGCGTAGCTGCACGCGCGTACTCATAGAGGCGTCCACGTCTATTAATGTAATACTCGCATGAGACTATGTTACGCCCACGCACACGCTCGCGGCCTACAACCTGTTCACACGTTAGCCCTAGCTTACGAGATCCGACATCGGACGCTAGTCCAACAGCTTAAGGCTTGGCGCACACGTTCGGTTTTTCCCGCTTACCCGCGTTTTTTTCCGGTTACTACCCGGCGGGTGAATTCGCGAACGTGTTGACATGCGGTTCATTATCCTGCGATTTTTACCTGCGATTTTTTCCCGCAAGTGATTGTGCTTCACTCAAGCGGCACGAGCATCAGAAACCATTTTATATGTCTCTACACTGTTAAGTGGTCACTTGAGTCTAGTTCAACCCAGACCCCCGTACGCGCGCTCAGCTAACTCGGTCCGTATACGCTTAGTCACCCTCACCACTAACCACCGAACCATACGTCGCGTAAACTTATGCATCAGTGGAAATTGTCCATGTTGCTACTCTAGTATGTAAAATAATATAATACATAGCAGGCGTAGCATGAAAATGTATTCTTCTTATTTACTCCTTACATGTGCTCTGGTAATTAGTTTGTCTATAGTATATATTATATTATATTTTATATATATACATATTATATATACTACTATATATATACTATATTACATACAGAGAGCAACATGTACAATTTCCACCTGATCATCAGGTTTACCGCGACTTGGGTTGGTGGTTAGTTGCGGGTATATATGTATATATATACATATATTATACAACTACAGTATATTATTATAGGAGCACATGTAATTTATATATATATATATACGCGTTCCTTTCAGTCGATGGTCTGATCAGTAAGGAGGAGTTCATCCGCGCGCCGTGGGATCTAACTGGACACTTCGTGAAACTCCGGCGCCGCAAGATGGCGCGCACGGCGGCGCGCAAGATGAAGAAGTCTCATGGTGGTGAACACCGGCTGAACAAGTCCAGCTGAGAAGTCACCTGCTGCACACCAGGGGGCACAGCTGCCGACATCTGCCGGACGTCGCCTCCACACTAGGCTGCTAGGACTAACAAACGCCGCGTGCGTGCGTGCATATAATATATCATATATATTATCATATATATATCTATATTCGTATATTATACGAACATTATTCCTATTACTTTAATTAAGATGATAGTAACGTGGACCTGCGGTGTGCTGACATCATTAACATCATTAATCATTCACGAACAGTGAGGTTATAACTGTGCGGTTATGCTGAGCTGGCGTGCGCACGCAGTCCCGTGGGCGCTGGCTGGCTTTAATTGTACGCTATACACGACTGAGCTCTCGCTCTCCATACAACAGCAACAGCAACAATAAAGTCGAATTTGTTCTCGCGCTATTGTCGCGTCTAAAAGCATATACCTGTTTTGCACTTTATTGTTTATCGATCTCGAACGATAGCTCGCACCGACGTCACATGATTTTCGCTGCTTACCTGGCTACATGCTTTCCTGGCTATGTGCTTGCATAGTTACGTGCTTACCTGTCTACTTGCTTACATTGCTATTTGCTTAACTAGCTGAATGCTTGCCTTGCTATATTCTTACCTTGCTAAGCGCTTACCTGACTGCATGCTTAACTGGCTGCATGCTTACCTTGCTATATTCTTACCTTACTAAGTGCTTACCCGACTGCATGCTTAACTGGCTGCATGCTTACCTTGCTATATTCTTACCTTACTAAGCGCTTACCTGACTGCATGCTTAACTGGCTGCATGCTTACCTTGCTATATTCTTACCTTACTAAGTGCTTACCTGGCTGCATGCTTAACTGGCTGCATGCTTACCTTGCTATATTCTTACTTTGCTAAGCGCTTACCGGACTACATGCTTAACTGGATGCATGCTTACCTTGCTATATTCTTACCTTAATTGCTAATAAGCGCTCACCTGACTGCATGCTTACCTTGCTATATTCTTACCTTACTAAGCGCTTACCTGGCTGCATGCTTAACTGGCTGCATGCTTACCTTGCTATATTCTTACCTGACTGCATGCTTAACTGGCTGCATGCTTACCTTGCTATATTCTTACCTTGCTAAGTGCTTACCTGGCTGCATGCTTCCCACCTGGGACGGATTGTCACTCGTACATGCACGCGACGGCTACGTGTAGTTCCGTGTACTTCATCAGGGGACGCAGATAACACGCCCGAAGCTAGCTGCGATAATTATGCTAATTAAACGAGCGCCCTATTAAGCCGTGGTGGAGGGGTGAATTAACATATCGCTCGTGTACCACGTGAGCTAGTGAGGCGGAGATGGGCGAGGATGAGAGGGAGGGAGATGGGAGAAAGGAAAGAGAGGAGGGCGTGGTAAAGACCTGGAGGGCGTAGCGAAGAGGAATGATGAGCAGGGTGAGAGAAGCAAGAAACACAGACGGACTGAGAGAAGGGATGACATACTGAGGAAGATGGGCCGAGGCAGGAGAGTGTTTGCGGAAGTAAAAGACAAAAGGGAGGAGAGGGAGAAGAAGGCGAGAGGGAGGAAAAGACGAAGGGAGAAGCGGGTAAAAGGAAGGAGAGGGTGAGAGGAAGAGGAGGGCGAGATGAGGGAGATTGTGAGAAGCAAAAGAGGGCGAGGATAAATAGCGATTGAGAAAGAAGAGAAGGAGAGCGTGAGAGGGAGGAGAGGGTGAGAAGGGGGAGAATCGTCCGGTCATCACGGGTTTCATTGGAGTTCTCTTATCCCTGCTCCCTGCTTCCGTGTCCCGTGCCCTATGTTTCGTGCTTACTGTTCCGTGTTGGGCGCGTGCAGTCATCGTGAGTGTGCGCGCCGTGCGACACGTAACATCGATCCATGTGGTGACAGACACGCTCCTGCACACACGGTGACAGACACGCTCCTGCACACACGGTGACAGACACGCGCCTGCACACACGGTGACAGACACGCTCCTGCACACGTTCCTGAACAACGGTGAACAGACCGCGCTTCTGCAACCCCAACGGTGACAGACAGGGGCCCGCGCCCTTCCTGCAACACAGACGGTGACAGACACGGCCGCAGCAGCACGTGACAGACACGCGGCCATGCACAACGGTGACAGAACACGCGCCGCACACGACGGTGACAGACACGGTGACAGACAGCCGGTGACAGCGCCATGCACACGGTGGTGACGACACGCTCCTGCACAGGGCGCGAGCGGGCGCCGGTGACAGACGGCGCTCCTGCACACACGGTGACAGACACGCGCCTGCACACACGGTGACAGACACGCTCCTGCACACACGGTGACAGACACGCTCCTGCACACACGGTGACAGACGCGCGTCCTGCACACACGGTGACAGAGCACGCTCTGCACACACGTTGAACACGGACAGGTCGCCTCCTGCCACCAACGGTGACAGACACGGGCCTGCAACACACGGTGACAGACACGCGTCCTGCAACGACGGTGACAGACACAGGCTCCTGCACACAACGGTGACAAGACAGGCGCCGCCTGCACACAACGGTGAGCAGACACCGCCGCCTGCACACAACGGTGAGCAGACCACGCGCCTGCACGACACGGACAGACACGGCTCCTCACACACGGAGCAGACACGGGCTTTCGCTCACATCACCGGCGCACGTACAGACACGCTCCTGCACACAGCGGTGACAGGCGAACACGGTGACAGACCACGCTCCTGGCACACACGGTGACAGACACGCGCCTGCCACCAGGCGCGGGCGCGGTAGGACAGACACGCTCGCTGCAACACGGTGACAGACACGGCGCCGAGCGAGCACCGGGTGACAGACACGCGCCTGCAACGCGCACCGCACCGTGCAGCAAATGCAATCACGCAGTTTAGCAGCATGCTAATGCTACCAGCCACTCGATCGATATCCGCTCGCGCCCGCCATGGGAGACCGCTGCTCGTTGTGATAGGTGCAATGGAAAGCCTGCTGGTAACGACTCGGCCATCGCTCGCTCGCCACGACGCGCCTAACACACCGGCATTCACTAGGTGCGCGCGCGTCCATCGAA